CCAAACAATTTTCCTCTGGTTGGAGAGCCTGTTTATTCCTTCAATCCTTTTTTAGTCGTTTAGCTTTTGCAATATTTTCTTGACGTTTCTGTTTCTTCTTTTGCTCCTTCTCCCTGGCCTCAATCATCTTGGCCAACTTCCAAGACAGTACAGCACTTGCTAGGAACAGTGGAGTTAGGGCCAAAATAACTGTTGTAAGGAAGCCATAAGGGTCCTTTGCAGCCCATTCCACAACATACTCAGCCCAAGCCTTAATATCAAACATCTTCATAGCAGTCTTAGGAAAACTTATGCTTGAGTTGTGATCTCTTAACTTTGTCCTGGTATTATTAGTGAGCCAATCACAATTCTAGATCACCCTTGGTTGTCTGTAGTCTTCTTGAGTTCTACCATATACTTCTGAGAGGTTTAAATTCTATACTGATTTATGGCAAAGTTTTAGCCATTAATACAAAGATTTATCGGCCACAGGCCACGCATCTTCCCGCACCTCAACTTCGGACCCAAAGGTTCACGCCTGCCACTCTTTCAGTTATAAATACTAATCCTCCGCCCAAAAGGGGTCGACCGGACTCGATCTCCCGACCAGACCTGCGTGGTGCCTGAAGCTGCAACTGATGGCACTTTACGGCCATCGGCACTTTCTCCTTTGTCTTCCTTCTTTATATTACCCGCTAGCTCACTCTTCCTTTCCCTAACGCGGCCGCTGGCCCAAGGGAACCATGTTCACCCCTGCCCCTCGGCCTTGGCAAGCGCGGGCCCCTCCGCAGAGCCAAAGATTCTAAGAAAAATGGGGTCGACACCGCCACACCTTGGGCCGCGGCCGCCTGCACTAGGCACGGGGACAAAACCACCCCAGCGGCCGCCACTAGTCTCCCCTACGTCGCGCGCCCGAAAACTAGTCTTCTTAAAACTTAAGAATACTCTTCTCTAACTAACCAGCAAACAGTATCACTTTCAAACAGATCAAGTTCTTTACTCCTCAAACTCTATTCTTTTTTAAACATTTATTTATTACAAACATTTGGAAAGGACACTAGCTGAATTACCAAGATCTATCCTTTCTTTCTTTTTTTTTTTACCCAAAAGATTCTAAAACTATTAACTAGTCTAAAAGACAGCTAGCCTAAGGAGAGGGGAAGAAAACAAAAGTAAGATCAAAAACAACAAAACTTCTGAAGCACAAACGTCAATCCTGTTTATGCAAAAATTTGCAAGATAACCATACTGTAAATTCTAGTGAACTCTTCTAAATCTGTCCTGATTCAAACTAAATGTGCTTCCAAGTTCAGGCAAGACCCCAAAAACCTCAGACACAGCCCACTGGACAACTTAATCTAATCAGGCAACGGGTAAAATGAGAACAGCTGTCGACTCCCAAAGAGGATCTGCATGGTCAGGTGATTCTCTGGTCTTTAGATGATAAATGGGACGAGAACCCAGGAGCCTCCAGGCCATCAATCAGTCCAGAGTCACTTCAAGTCTCCATCCACCTTCTTGTCGCTAATGGAACTGCGCTCCTCCCTCACATTCGTGGTTTTCTACCCGGACTCAGCTCCTTGTTTCCTAGCAACGAATGATGGAGAGACACACGCAAAGGCAGCCACCTTCTCTATAGGCCCAGAAGGAGGAAGAGAGAGCAGAAGCTTCCGAGGCTCCTCCATCAGCTCAGTGAGCTCATCCCACAAAGGGAGGGGCTCTGCGACCACACCCATTCACTCCCCTTTTCTGCCACTGAAAAAGGGACTCTGCCCCAGGGAGAAAATAATATACAATTTAACACTGTTAATGAATCCCTGCCATCTACCAAGAGGGAGTTCCTGCTTAATCAGAGAACTGGTCCTAACCTTTTCTGAGCTGGGTCAGTCACCTGCATTAATGAAAGGACACCTCCAAGAAACCCAAATAACCTAACTCGAGTCCTTTTTGGCTTTCAAATGCATTGTTAAATTCCCTTGCACCCAATTTACCTTCTGAATTGCAGTCTGCCTTGATAATTATTCAAATGGTTTTGTGTTTCCTGAGAACTCACAGGCAGATGATAGGGGAAACCCCAAAAGAATATTCAGAGATTAAAGGCAGGCAATTTG